TCATGACCTCTTCCAAAGAGTGGAATCAGGAAGGAGGATAGCTCTGTTCCTCTATTGACAAGAATGAATTGAGAAAATTGCAAGTACGCTTTTTCTTAGTTCTTGAAGAGGAACTTAACGTCTTCCCTTGACAAATTAGTATGAACAGCCAGATTTTCTGCATACAAAGAAACTGGTTGAAGGAACTTAACGTCTTCCCTTGACAAATTAGTATGAACAGCCAGATTTTCTGCATACAAAGAAACTGGTTGAATAAATATATCTGTTCTTTTCCAAGGCTAGAACAAGATATAAATTGGTTGAAAAATATTACAAGTTATGTTCTCAAATACAACATTGAAATCAGAAGTGCTTTTGTTTTTACCTTGGGAGCAGTCTGAATATTTTTTCTAGCTTGAATAATGTTGGACTGATTCTTCCTTATTTTATTACATGCAGTTTTGGACTCATTCTTGCCTAAAAGAAAACTATATGTGTGCAAACCTTTTTGGAAAACAGTAAACAACAAAATTCTAGACATACTTTGGGTGGCCTATTCCTGTATTAAATATACCACATTTGCAAATTCTTATGTGTCTGGAAATGCCATTGAATTCAGTAGGATTCATTCTGAAGCAAGTGAATAAGAGACATTGTGATGGACAGAAAATGTTAGACAAGAGATGCTTCATCCATGTTTTAATATGTGATTTCAGCTGTGGATGGAAAAGCACCTCTTGCTACTGGAGAAGATGATGATGATGAAGTTCCAGGTAAGAATTGTTAGCCTTATTTATTTTTCAGGACAGGATTTGAAAAGATTTGAATATTTTGTGTTTCTACCACTTTATCTGGAAGTATTTTTGGCCCAGTTTTTGTTATGTCCAGATGAGTGGAATATCGATGAGACCTCTGGTGTATACAGATAACCCCCATCTTAAAACAGAAGTTTGGACTGGAATTTCCATTGCCAAACAATCCAGTTGTAAAGTGCAAAGTCATCTGCCTGTGATAGATACTAAGGCACAACAGTTCAGGCATTCCTGGTTGCTGCTGTTAAGTGTAACACCCTGGATTGTCAAGCGAGGACATCCTATGGTTACTTTTGTGACTTCCTGTCAGCTTCTAATACTGAATTTGAAGCAGTTATTTAGACATTGGTACCTCACAGGAGTAACTTATAAGTACAGCAGACATCCACAAAGTAATGTTCACAAGTGAATATTTGCTTGCTGGAAGCTGGCAAAGGTCACAGATGGCAACCATATGATCATGGATTATGTGACACAATTGTGGACAGGCATTGAATGCTTGCTTGCAGTTGAATAACCATGGGTACATTCCAACATTCCAGCTGAAACTCAAGGACAGGCCCCCTTATTCAGTGCTATTATAACTTTGAACAGTCACTGAATGAATGGATGTAACTGCAATTGATAAAAAAAATAGTTGCATTACAATACGTTGCTTCTCTCCGATCAGTTGCATAAGTATATGAGGTAGAGATAGTTGTATAGTTATGCAGGAAACTTAATATTTAATGCTCTCTGACAAAAATACAATTCTAAAATGCTTTAGATGTTAGCATAAGCATTGAAATATTGCAGGACTTTTTTCCACTTAAAAAACATCGTTCCATTTTTTTTCTTTGCAGATCTCGTGGAGAACTTTGATGAGGCTTCCAAAAATGAAGCAAATTGAATTGTCACATTCAGTAAAACTTGACAATTATGTGGAGCTGCTATTTTATATTGTGACTTTTATTTGTAATATTTTGTACTGATCTTAGTCTTAAGATCTGTAATATTTGGAAAGTCGGTTCAATGCAGCTCTTCAATTATTGTTAATGCACAGTGCGAACGGGCTGGAAGTGCACAAAATGGAAAAGTACTAAGTCTAAAAGCTAATAAAGTCAAATGTTTAGTCAAATACTTCATTAGTATTTTTGTATATAATTAAAATAATTACTTGTGATAGTGGTGGGAAATGAAGGTTCTTGGCTTTAGATTTTACTTTGATAATAACTTTAAAATCTTCCAGAGCCGCCTCTTTTGCATTACCTATTACAATGATTTATGCCAACATTGAAATGGATTTCACAACTAGATTATTGATGGTGGTTTAGCTTTTATCTGAATAAAAGACAGGTTAGATTACTAAATTATAGATAGGCTGGCACTAACCTTTTAGTTGAAGGTTTCATGGTTTAACATATGCTGGACTTCATCTCTCCAAATTCATAGCAGTTAGGCTTCTATATTAGCTGAGAATTATAGGAGAAAAAATCTGATGTTGAGGAGCCTAAAATGGAGAAGGCAAACTTAAAAGGATGTTATTTAATATATTTTTCCCTTCTCTGTTTATTTAAATGAATATGTATGTATGATCTTTACTAATACATCTATAAAGTTTGGACAATGCAGAAGAATAAGATCACAGGCTTTAGGTGAGCCTAAAGGCATCTACAATAGACTTTCAAATAATTAGGAATAATCTTTTGATTTGCTGAGATTTTAGCGATAGGGCAATTTTTTAAAATGTAGTTTATTCTTTTCAGCAATTGTTGCCATTGTGGAAGTTAATATAAAGAATTGTTTAAAATCACTACACATCAATGCATCAGAAGCTGTTCTGGTTTCTTTGCTTTTACTTTTAAGACAGCAGTTTATTTACAAAACACTAAATGACTATGTTGCCTTGAATAACTGAATCATTAGCAGCAGAATTGTTTTCACTATGTCTAGATGCAAAGAATATAGAATTTGAAACAATTATTTAGGCATTGGTATCTCACGGGAATAACTTAAAAGTACACTAGATATCAACACAGTAATATTCACAAGTGAACAGTTCATGACAGCGGATGCTGACTCTTAGAGATAGTAATTAATCTAGCCGTGGCTAAGAAATCTACCTTGGGTACTATTTGGATGAAAGACCACCGGAAAACCCAGAACTTGTAGGCTGCACAGAAATGTTGAAACAATTTCCTGGAAGGTCATGGCAAATCATTTTCATATTGCCACTAATGAAGAAATGAATGGCAAATCCTTGTCTTTGCCTCAATAATGATGAGAAAAGCAATTAAGATACACAAAGTATACAGCATACCCCCTCCCATTTTTAACGATATGCTCCTTAAAAGTTGACTACTGTAGATAAGTTCTTAAGATTTTGGCCAGTCTGGGAAAGTTATACAGTAGGAAAGTATCCAACAGTGCCATTTACCCAAGTACTACAAATAGTTATTACTGGGTTGTGACAAGAATTGTTTCAATTTTACCAAATAGCTATAATTGTGTTGGTGCAGTCTAGCTGCTTTCAATAAAACTGGAACAAAACTGCAGTCTTCAGCATGCTATTGTAGAAGACAAATTATCAACATGACTTGCGTATTTTTATTTATATGGTAATGAATACTGTGCAAATGGTTTGTTAACATCTTTTACAATTTCAGTGAACTACAGGAAAAAAATGGAAAACTATACTATTTAATGGTGAATTGGAAGTATGGAATAAGAGCAACATGTAGCTTGCTGCTATAAATACTGAGGAAACACTTCCTTAAAAATACAATATGAAAACAGATTTGAAAAGATCACGATAGACAGTAGCTCAAAAACACAATTTGTACTTTATATAAAACAATACTTGGAAAACAGTTTTAAAATGTAGGGTTGCTTTCAAGTCACAATTCTATAGAAACAAAACAGCGTTTTACCTCAAGGGCTTGAGAATATAATAACATAGCATATTAAATACACATTGAGAGATACACATGTTTTCAGCCACCTAAAAAAATAAGTAGAAGCTAAAGGATTCTCTTTGGCTAGTAAGATTCTCATAGGCGAATCTACCATATATTAAGTATTGCACAACTTCCCCACAGCAGTTTAGAGGCATATGTCTGTATTTTCAATGAAACATGTTTACCTCATGCTTTTTGTGTGAGAATTAACAATTCCATATAACATGCAATAAAGATAATTTTCAGTATAATATCAATGCATGGATTGCAAATGTGTTACAATCCAGAGTAATTTCATTTAGTGATATTTTTTGTAACATTCCTAAAACAGAAGGCTTTGGACAAACACTACAATAAGGTACATTTATTTTAGGTGGGTCTTGTTTAAAACACCAATATTTTAATTGTAATAGTGTTAATTTTTTCAGTCGTTCCAGGTTACAGCTTCAGCCAGCTATATTTGTGTGTCCGTGTTTGTGTGTGTTATATATATATAAAACACACAGACACACACACACATAGACACACACATTATATATATAATTCAATTCAAATACTTAAATCTATAGTAGAAAATCATGTTAAACCTATATATTTCAGTAGTGGCGCTGAAATAAAACAAGCTATTTGCATAAAAAAAGGCTGTTCTAAGATTTTAGAACTTAGTTGTAAACTTTAAAAAATCCTTTCTAAAAACAGCAAAGAACAGATTGTTTATACATGAAAATAAATAGACACAAGAACTATACATCATAAACACCTATTGGTACCAACTGAATCAAAGTATTGGATTAATACAGTCTGAAAAACCATCTTGCTATCAATTTGAAATGTATAAATCATACATCAGTATGGGATATAATTTTGTATATTGTCATAGTATTTTACAATTCCTTTTTCAAGTGCATACATGAAATATAAATAAGATGAGTTTGAATTTTAAACATCTATGAACATCACTCAAATGAAGATGGTTCACCTAAAATATAACTCAAAAGAAAAAAAAAAGTCGCTTGAATAAATCCCATAATTTTTTTTGAATTCAGCTTTCAAGTGCTTTGTTATTATTAACCATTCTTTTATGTAAACAGTGAAACAGAAATTCTAAAGTTATAAGACAATACTATGAAATATTGGAACAATAAACTAGCACTATGGTACAGGAAAGGTTTGCTGGGGAAAAAGGCAGCCTCTTCTACTTATAAATCAAGTAGTATGCATGCCACTAACCTACCATTTCAAGCACATTTGGTAAGTAATAAGATTTAAGAATGGACTAAGTTACCAGTTAAAAAATGCTTTTATACTGATCAGTATTCAAATGAAGTGCATTTCTTCTTTTATTCCATAGCTATAATATTATTCCTTGATATTTTGAAGGAGTGTTAATAAATGAGTCTCAATAACCTGTTGGACTGAAATAGAGAGGAAAACATGGTTAGTATTCAATTCTTTAAATTGGAAACTCTTCTAAAAGCACTGAAAAATGTGAGGACTAGAGTGAGATTTTGTAACGGTTGATAACATTAGGCACACAGCTATCCATTTCCAATACACAATTGACTACACTTGTGAAGAAAGAACCAAGTTATGCCCAACAGTACACTTAATTTTGAGTGGCTGTTGTTAGCAATGTTGGGGAGGGAAAGTTTAGATCCAAGATACTGGATTTTCTACCCTTCACTTTGAAATGGAAAAAATAAGGTTTGCTATTTGGCTGCATTGTTAGGTATAATGGCTGTTCCCAAGCCTTGGCATTGATAACAGCATAGCTACCGTCCTATATACATATGTATAAATATGTACAATGTCTCACTGCAAATACATGTGTGCGCCTTATGTAGCCATACATCTGATGGTTTTTTTAGATTATTAAAGCAAGTTTTATTGTGTTATCTCTACAACCAAACACTGGTGAAAAGCTTAGTTCTCATTGTACATTGTCATGGGAGGGAGGGAGAGAGTGAGAGAGAGAGTTTTGACAAATAGCAATTTATAACAGGTTAGGAAACAAAAATATTTTTATCCTGACATTAAAAGGGAATTGATACACATACTATTTATCTTTGGTTTGCTATGTAAAGAGTAAAAAATGCTGTTCTTTAAAGAAGCAGCAACAAACGCTTTAGGGGACTTTTGATTTAACAGGCCATGGTTCTAAAATGCCCATTCATATATGCATAACAAAACCTATTAAGTGGTTAAACTAATCAACTGATAGTAAAAAGGACAGCAATACCGTATTAAAAAGTGCTTGAATACTCACCACTACGATGGCCCAAGGCTACAGCGAGATCCATAGAATTATATCCAGAATCAGTTTCTACAGTTGGATCAGCACCATGTTCTTTTAAAAGCAAAATGACATTTATGAATATGTATATGAATGTTAAATCTCATTGTTTAATCCAGAAGTTCCCAAACTTTCTTACTTCACAATGTCCTTAGGCTTCTCCAGTGAACACACTAACAGTTCCATTTATTTAGCAAAATATCCCACAGTATCTCTGTGAGTTCACTACCACATACACAGTTTGGGCACTATAAGTTTAATTTGTTTTAATAATAATTACCTAAGAGGATCTTGACACATTTCACATGATTCCCATGAACAGCATAGAGCAAGGGTGTACCACCATTCTGAGGAGAAATAAAATAAAATTTAAAATTTCCTTTGCACAGCTCAAGTATAAAACCATTAGTCCCAACATTTTAATTTATTTATCAGCAAAGTGTATTATATGGTTCCAATTCATCTTTTCTTTATCATATCATGTCTACAAAGCAATAGAAAGCTGGATTTTCTTTTGTGGACTAGATTTTAGCTTGTACCCGCATATTAGGTGGCTTTCCTATGGCTGGGCTGCAACTCAGCCTGATGACCAGAATACTGCAGAAAGTATTTGGGTGTCATGAACACATGGAATGTGGGAAGGAACTACAAGCCACAGATTGCCCTCAGATCCTGGGACAAAAACAAGAAGAAAGTGCTTGGGAATTAAAACAAATCAGAGGGTTGTCATTCTGGTTTCCTAATGGTTTTATAAAATTATAAAAAGACAAAGAGCAGAAATTGCAGAAAAATAAGACTCAGTAAGTAGTCCTTCCAAAAGTTAATTGGGAAGGCTACAGAAAAAAGATAAAGAAGCAGAAAAGTGGAATAGATGAGATCAAATACATTGTA